CCCGTGGCAATGGGGATGTCCCTGTCCTGGCATTACCCAGGGGTGCCAGCACAGGGACAGGGACCCGGCTCTGCCCCAGGGCTGCCCATGGGTAAACACTTTTAGGTGCATTTTTCTTGGGTTGGTTTTTTTTTCAGGTGCATTTTCCTTGGGTTGGTTTTTTTCAGGTGCATTTTCTTGGGTTGTTTTTTTCCAGGTGCATTTTCCTTGGGTTGGTTTGTTTTTATTCAGGTGCATTGTCCCCATCCCCATCCCTGTCCCCATCCCTCTCCTTATCCCCATTCCTGTCCCTGTACCCATCCCTGTCCCCATCCTTGTCCCTGTCCCATTCCTATCCCTGTCCCCTTTCCCATCTGGAGCTGCTCTTCCCTCCAGGTTCTCCTGGCTGCCCTTGCAGCACCTTCCCAACATTTACACCAAGCCAGGCTGTGGCCACCAGGGTGTCCCTGTGTCTGTCCCCGTCCACCAGGGTGCTCATTGTCCCTGTCCCTGTCCCTGTCCCTGCTGTGGGGAGAGGGCAGACCCAGGGGTGCTGGGGGTCTCTGCCACCCCTGCTCCCTCATTTCCCTGAATTCCACCCAAACTGAGCCCAGCTCCTGGTGCTGCTGCTCCTCTCAGCCTGGCCCTGCTCCTCCCTCCATCCCTGCTTGGGCTGGGACCACCAGAGCTTGGTGACCCACCAGAGCCCCACCCCTGCACCCCACCACCCACCTGCGAGGCTGTGGCCTCACACCTGGCTCCAGGTAAAGGCTGAACCCCCCAGGTGCCTGCAGGAGCCCCAGGTGGGTTTGTAAAGGCTGAACCCCCATTGCAGGAGCCCCAGGTGGGTTTGGAAAGGCTGAATCCTGAATCCCCACCTGCAGGAGCCCCAGGTGTGTTTTTAAGGCTGAACCCCCATTGCAGAAGCCCCAGGTGGGTTTGTAAAAGCTGAATCCTGAATCCCCACCTGCAGGAGCCCCAGGTGTGTTTTTAAGGCTGAACCCCCATTGCAGGAGCTCCAGGTGGGTTTTTAAGGCTTGAACCCCCATTGCAGGAGCTCCAGGTGGGTTTGTAAAGACGGAATCCCCATTGCAGGAGCCCCAGGTGGGTTTGTAAAAGCTGAATCCTGAATCCCCACCTGCAGGAGTTCCAGGTGGGTTTGGAAAGGCTGAACCCCCATTGCAGGAGCCCCAGGTGTGTTTTTAAGGCTGAATCCCCATTGCAGGAGCCCCAGGTGGGTTTGGAAAGGCTGAATCCTGAATCCCCACCTGCAGGAGCTCCAGGTGGGTTTGGAAAGGCTGAATCCCCACCTGCAGGAGCTCCAGGTGGGTTTGGAAAGGCTGAATCCCCATTGCAGGAGTTCCAGGTGGGTTTTTAAGGCTGAATCCCCATTGCAGAAGCTCCAGGTGGGTTTTTAAGGCTGAATCCCCATTGCAGGAGCTCCAGGTGGGTTTGGAAAGGCTGAATCCCCCTGCAGGAGCTCCAGGTGGGTTTGTAAAAGCTGAATCCTGAATCCCCACCTGCAGGGGCCCCAGGTGGGTTTGGAAAGGCTGAATCCCCACTGCAGGAGCCCCAGGTGGGTTTGGAAAGGCTGAATCCCCCTGCAGGAGCTCCAGGTGGGTTTGTAAAAGCTGAATCCTGAATCCCCACCTGCAGGAGCCCCAGGTGGGTTTGGAAAGGCTGAATCCCCATTGCAGGAGCTCCAGGTGGGTTTTTCAGGCTGAACCCCCCAGGTTTTGTGCAGGGGTGACCCTGGAAGCTGCTCCCCTCTGTTCCATGCACGGGCAGGGACAGAGCCAGGGGCAGTGACCCCGTGGGGGTGACAGTGACCCCGTGGGGGTGACAGTGGCTCTGTCGGGGGGACCCTGGGAGGGAGCAGCACACAGAGCCACCAGCAGTGTCCTTTCAGGTGTTATTTTTGTTTTTTAAGCCTGCCTGAGCGGCTGAGCCGGGCGGGAACACACCGAGGGTGCATGCAATGGCCTGAGGGGCAGGAGAGGCCTCGGGACAGCTCCCGGTGCTGGCTCCAGGTGGTGGAGATCGGTCACAGTTGCACGATGGTGATGGATGGGCTGGAACGGCCTCTTCTGAGGGGGGAGACGTCCCTCGGTCGCAGGAGCATCCTCCGAGCCTGTGGCACCGGGAAACCCGTCAGGGACTGCAGGGATCCTGCAAAAATCCTGCAGAAATCCCACAGAGATCCCACAGGAATCCTGCAGGGACCCTGCAGAGATCCCATAGAAATNTTCCTGCTTCTGGGGACAGTCCTGATCTTGGGAACAATCCTGATCCTGGGGACCGTCCTGCTCCCAGGGACAGCCCTGATCCCGGGGACAGTTCCTGCTTCTGGGGACAGTCCTGATCTTGGGAACAATCCTGATCCTGGGGACCGTCCTGCTCCCAGGGACAGCCCTGATCCCGGGGACAGTCCTGATCGCTCCTGGGGACAGCCCTGATCCCTCCTGGGGACAGCCCTGCTTCTGGGGACAGCCCTGATCCTGGGGACAGTCCTGATCCTGGGACTCCCGTGGACAGTCCTGCATCTTGGGACAGTCCTGCTCTGGGGACAATCCTGATCCTGGGGACAGTCCTGCTCGCTCCTGGGGACAGCCCTGATCCCGAGGACAGTCCTGATCTTGGGGACTGTTCTGATGGCTTCCGGGGATAGTCCTGATCCTGGGGACAGTTCCTGCTTCTGGGGACAATCCTGATCCTGGGGACAGTCCTGATCTTGGGGACAATGCTGATCCCGGGGACAGTCCTGCTCGCTCCCGGGGACAGTCCTGATCCCTCCTGGGGACAGCCCTGCTTCTGGGGACAGTCCTGATTCTGGGGACAATCCTGCTCCTGGGACTCCCGTGGACAGTCCTGCATCTTGGGACAGTCCTGCATCTTGGGACAGTCCTGCTCTGGGGACAGTCCTGATCTTGGGGACTGTTCTGATGGCTTCCGGGGATAGTCCTGATCCTGGGGACAGTTCCTGCTTCTGGGGACAATGCTGATCCCGGGGATAGTCCTGATCCCGGGGACAGTTCCTGCTTCTGGGGACAATGCTGATCCCGGGGACAGTCCTGCTCGCTCCTGGGGACAGCCCTGATCCCGGGGACAGTTCCTGCTTCCGGGGACAGTCCTGATCCTGGGGACAGTCCTGATCTTGGGGACAATCCTGATCCTGGGGACAGTTCCTGCTTCCGGGGACACCCCTGATCCCGTGGACAGTCCTGATCCTGGGGACAGTCCTGCTCTCTCCCGAGGACAGTCCTTGTCCCAGGGACAATCCTGTTCCTGGGGACAGTCCTGCTCGCTCCTGGGGACACTCCTGCTCCAGGGACAGTCCCACACTCCC